TATAATTACTTCTTAATTGTCAGCTTAAGCAGTTCAGTTCAAATATATTTGCAAGTCGTTCGATTGTAGTTAAATCCATTAGAGACCAATTCTTGAACCCAAACTACCAAATGAAACATAGCAATTTATTTAAAATTACTGATATATACACATATATCGACACCATTATATATAAATATCTATATAATTGCTATCATCAAAAGATTTGTTGTTATTGTTACGGTTTTTCATTAAGAAAAAAAAAAAAAAAGATGAGAAAACAAAAAGAAAAATAACATAAAATGTATCCAAGTTCGATTGCCTTTTCGATTTGAATTATATGTTCTCCATTAGCGAATAAGTGCTTTAAGTACACATATACACACACACACACACACACATATACGTATGTTTGTGTCTGTATGTAAATTGAAATTGAATTGTTGAAAATTAGCTAAAAGCCGAACAAATTCCAATTGGAATCCAATCTGCAATTAAGCTGTTAACTGTTGTTCATTTTACTTATTCCTCAAATATTATTTTAATTTTGAGCATTTAATATCAATTCTTATCAATTGATTGGGAAAGTCTTTCGAATGGGTTTCTGCGCTTTGTTAAATATACAGTTAATTCCAAATTTAATGCGATTTTCCTGAGCAGTTGCTGAAACCATTGAGACAAAATGAATATACTATAGATATGTACATGTATATGTATACATATATATACGTTGTATGTGTACAGAGGCATTCAAGTGCCGTACGGATTAATGAAAACAATCTGACAGTTCGCGGTCGTGGCACAAATACAAATGCACTTATGTACATGCGCATACACACACACACACACACACACACTCACACAGATGTACACAGTCACGTTTGTATTTATAAATATATACACCCATATTCATATGCATATATGTGTATGCATGTTCTAGTTAATATTGAAGAAAATCTACAGCCACACCCACACCCACTCCCACATACACGCACACACAAATTAGTTGTAAAGCGAAAACAAAAATTCAATTTGTGAATTCTACATGATGTATTATTTAAAAAGTTCATCAAAACGATGCAACATTCGTAATAAACAAGAAATTCAATACGTAAACAATGTCTCTATCTAAGCGTAATACAATTGGACGTAGACCATTTCCAATTGGAAATCACCTTGAGCTGAAGTAGTGCGTGCGTGCATTGATATAATCCCATTAGTCTAATTGGAGTACTGAGAGGGGGCGGGTGGGCATATCATTTGTTGTGCCGCGTGCGCAGATAAATATCAAACTGGACGAGCGTAATGAAGTAGGAGAAGGCTGTCACGGAAATTAGATAGATGAGACGACGATCCAGATGCACCAGGCCACAGAGCATTGGCTGGCGGCAGTGCATCAGCAGCAGCGAGAACTGTTCCAACTGGAAGACAAGTGACAAATCGTTAGCTAACTGGCAGCCAATTGGATGCTGTGCAGTGTTTGGTTGGAGCACCTCTTGGTTCAGGCTTGGCGGCTGCCGCGCTGGAGATTCACTGAACTGCCGAACGGTGAGGGCCAGACGCGTCTGCTCCATCTTGATATACTCGCCAACCAGCGACACCAAATACGTGTCCAGATAGAAGGCCAGCGCATAGACGCCGCTCACTGCAACCGGAAAGGAGACGAATGCGCGCGAGCTCGTCGCCAGCAGATTGAAGATGGTAAACAGATTGGTCAGATTGTTGATCAGCGTGGTCAGCATCAGGCCCAGCAGCTGGAACTGATGCATCCGAAAGCTGTCCGCATACAGGCCGTGTATCTGGGCGTAGCGCTCCCGCAGCAACCCAATCCGATCGCACAGCCGACAGCCGTAGAGCAACAGCCTGCCGCGGCCCAGTCGCCTGAGCTGCTCGAGCTCGGCCTGCAGCTGCATGTGCAGCAGGCGAAAGTACAGCAGCACACAGCTGCTCACATAGTAGAAATAGTCGGCCATGCTCTCCGTATAGTTCCACAGGACGAAGCCGTAGATGGCGAACTGAATACGCAGTCGCCTTCCTCGGGCTGCTGCAGCCGAGTCGGAGTCGGAGACGGAGTCTGAGTCGGAGTCTGACTCTGTATCTGAGTCGATGCGGGCAACGGCAAATATCGCACAGATCTGGACAATCATCATCAGGTTAATCAGCACGAATTTTAGGTACATGAACAGCTCGAAGCTGTGCTTGGGCCAACCGGATCCACGGTACCTGGCGGCAAAGGCCGCCTGGAGGCGGGCGCGCTGCAGCGAGCAGCGCTGGTTGATGGCCTCGAAGTGGCAGGTGTTCGCCACATAGGTCACAATCACGGTGGCGTACTTGATGAGCGTGTTGGCGAACCCGACGTACAGCACCAGCTGCATGCGGCGGTCGTCCGTGGCGGTCAGCGCGCGGTAATTGTAGCCAAAGTAGCCGGGCAGGACGACAACCAGCAGCAGGCTCAGCACGTGGCTATAGGCGATGAGCAGCGACTTGAACGGCGCTCGCATCGGTCGCTGCGGCGCATAGTCTATGATCACCTGGCCGCAGATGCTCGCATAGATGTGGCCATACCTGTAGAACTTCAGCTCGTGCCGCTCCCAGAAACTTTGCGACTTGACGCACATGCCGCACGCTCGGCCAGCCGCAGCTGCACTGAACTGAATGCCTACTGTGCCACACTGTGGCATGTGGCATGTCAGTTGAACCAGCGCCGATGCTTATCTTAAATGTACACAGCCCATGCGCAAGCGTATCTAAAGTTTCTCGCTTTACTTTTCGACTCTCTAGCAATACAGCATATACATATATTAATGAGTTGCTGAATAGATTTCATATCTTTTTTTATTAGACGATATTCATTGTATAACTGAGCTTTGCTTCTAATAAGCGTCTAATATACACATATTCATATATTTCATATGAATAGCATATATAGCTCTACATGTGCTAGCGGCCATCTTATTCGCGGTCAACATAAATAACTGAGATGATATGTCCATCTAGTCATCTGTCTCTCTGTGATACTGTTATTCTGGCAGTCAATCTGTCGGCCCTTTTGCCAATCCCTCTTTGTTTCCTTGCGTCTTCTTCTGTCTGTCCGTACGTCTGCCTCTCTGATGGTTCACCAGTAATCATCCGTCTATCTTATCGTTTATCTGTTTATCTGTTCTTCCATTCGTCCATTTGTCTTTTCGTCCGTCTGTCTGTCCTCGAGCTGTCCTATCTTTCCTGTCTATGTGCCTGCCTATATGTATGTATGTCCGTTCTTCCGTTCCGTCCACCCAGATACTGGTCTGTCCCACCGTTCATCCGTTCGTTTGTCCACCCACCCGTCCGTCTGTCTGTCTATCCACCTGTCTGTTCCTCTGTCTGATTGACCTTCCAATTGTCCTTCTATCTTGCCTTCCGTTGTTCTGTCCCTTCATCTGCCTGCCCGTCTATCCGTTCGTCTGTCCGCTCTCCCATCCGATCTTCTGTCCGCCTGTCTATCCATTCGTCTGTCCATCGCTCTGTCTGTTCGAATGAATATGAAGATCTCGTAAACTATAATGACTAAAAGTATTAAATATATATCGCTCTATACCGTAGTACGAGCCATTGTTTTTATCGATTTTTTTTCTCAGATTCGATAATAATCGATGTTTTTCCTTTGGTTTCGCAGTCGTACTTGAATATGGACTCTATTATGCCTGCGGCTGAAAGGACTTGGCCAGGGCAATAATGGAACCAGATGTCTGCAATATCTGAAAGAGTGAAGACTTACGGTAGTAATTACATATGTAGGAAGCGCTAAAGTACGCACTGTGGTAAAGGAGACGAGAGAGGGCGTGAAGAACGGCACTGCCATTGTGAGACCGCGCTGTGAGCGCATTATGAAAAGATGAACGTAGCGACGGTGCTTGGGCAAACACAGATGCCATGGAGCACTGCCCATGACAATGGCCAGTTTAGTACTCTGGATGAAAAAAAGGAGAAACGAATGAATTAATGACGAACACCGTCCTTTGGCCAATCCAAATTGGCTGAGCACTAACACTCTCGGTGACCAGAGTGCCGCCGTAGCAGTAGATGAGCAGCTGGCTGAGCGCGGCCACGGTGTAGCTCACGTAGAGAAAGGTGTTGAGGCCTTTGTCACCGATGGTCAGTAGATTGAAGATGCTGAAGCCAATCACCATGCTGGCCGAGACGAAGTGGGCCAAGGTGATGGTGGCATAGCGCTGCCTGAAGTACTGCGTCAGCTCAAAGATCTCATTCTGCCGCTTGATCAGCTTTACCAAGGTCGCCTCGAAGACGGCGCCGTTGTCGCCGCTTATCTCTGGCAGATCTAAACGAGGAGCCTTGATAGCTGATAGAGGGCAAAAGAATGCTGCATTGCCTTACCTTTGTAGGGTTGAAAGAGCGTGTGAATATCCGCCTGGAGGAAGTCAAAGAGTGTGGCGATGTTAACACAGAACTCGAAATAGAAGGCGTCACAGCCGCCGAACATGAAGATGGTCACGTAGCCGGTATAGGCAATGAATATGAAGGTAAGCGGGTAGAACGGTGCATGTAGTAGCCACTCGGGCATGCTGCAAGGAGGGCTCTCGAATGGATGTTCAGTGCGTTGGCATCCCACTAACTTACGTCATATTGAAGGGCATGCCCCAGACGATTTCATCGGTACGTCCGTTTAGGTAGAGCAGCAGCACTACCATCAGTGGCTTCAGATTGTATAGGCTGCTGGTGGAGAAGCCAGCGGACACTGGCCAGAAGTTCAAGCGACACGTCATCAGGAAATGACGACGCATCACCTGTTCCTTGACAGGCGTCTGCCCGACGATGGGGAACAGCATCTGGCGCTGTTTGGTTAGGACGTAGAGCAGGTCCTCGCGAGCCTGCAGCAAAAAGAACATTTTAAACAGGGTGACCGCTGAGGTGCCAGCCGGACAGAATGTCTCCAAGGCGACCGTTATATCGCCCCGTCTGGCACACCGATAGCCGGCATGCAGCTCCGTGGCCACGCCTATGGCCAGCACCACGAAGTTGATGTAGGCTCGCCAATGCAACCGCTCAGGCCAGTAGCCCATCAGGTTCAAGCAGAGACGCGGCACGCCATAAAAGTATGTGGATAACGGTTGATTGCCGTACAGAAACCGGAAGTTAATGCCGATAGCCATGCCTGCAGCGCGTCTTCTGTTTGGGCCATGGAGCGCGCTTGGCTCTTTTATAGAACCTGTAAGCCGATTGGCCAACTGCTAATTGGGCTGTTGTTCAGGCAATTAGATAACTTTTTAGACTTTCGATAAAAGTTTTTGCACAAGGCTACGCAAAAGGCAATTTGTCCCAGGAAGAGCTGACCAGGTGGTCATAGGCCATTATTTCGAAATTTAATATTCGGTCATAGCTCATCTTATATATGTAATACCTCGTTTAGCCTTAATATTCATGCAAACTAGAATTGGGAACTCTGAAAAAGCATTTATCACATTAATTTTTCACGCACCTTTATCCTTTATCCTTTATCTGGTATTTTATTAAAGCTGTCCAATTCTCGTCCCATAAGCAGGCTAAGAACACCTTAGATCTATATCTACACTTATCTAAGGCATACTTTAAGGCAGTTGTTTTCAATCTTTTAGCTGTAACAATAATTTTATATATATTTTCGATATACATAATAAATACAATCTATGCATATATAAGTTATATCTTATATAAGAGATTAGTTCAAAAAGAATAGCAAATATTGGATTACGAATGTATATTACATTTTAAATTTTTTTGTCGAGTTTTTTGTGGTGATTGAGAAGATAAAGACAGCATCGAAGAAGCAGATGAACAATGTCAAAAGGGCTTCAGGAACTAGTGCATATTTCATGCGAATAGCTTTGAAGGCCATGTAATTATATAAGATATATTATTTAAGAGCCGTCTTGATATATACGAATATATGCAAAGTAACGCTAAATTTTGTGTGTTATTCGGCTTATATGTAATTTTTTTTTTAATTTATTAAATATACTATTTTAGAATATACCATACAAATACCATTTGCCCTTTTTTAATTCCAATGAAAATGACATTTTATTTTCATTTTATTTGCGTTTAAATTTGAAAAAAAAAAAAACGAATATTAATGTTAGGCACTGTATATGTTATTAATACTTAGCACTGAAATTACAATAGTTTTTTCTGTACTTATTATTTTTTTATTAACTATTAAATCAATGCTATTAGAATTTGGTATCGCCTGCTCTACTTATGACAATGGGTTTTTAATTTTAGTATTATAAAGTGGATAATCTATGAAAATTGTATTTAATTTACTTAAAGCTAAATTCCTTTATTTAAAGGGGATTTTAGAGAAACTTTGTCCTATATGTTATGCAGTATTTTGGCAAAGCCATCATAGATCATAATAGATAGATGCCAAACTGAGTAGTCCTTAAGATTTTACAGCTGCATAGCTCTATTGCATTGAGGCGTACGCTAAGGCATTTGTTTGCTTCACAAAGAATAGTTCAAATATTATATATTCGTATTATATTTTATACAAAGTAATTCGCATTTATTATTTGCTCGGGTCTCGAGCTATTGTTACTGTTGTTCTTGAGTTTGTTTTGCTAAGCTCATACGGACAAACAGTTTGCTAGGTCTACCAAGTCAGCCACGCCTCCTTCTGTTACCTGCCATACCCTGAGCCTGCTGTGTGAAATATATATACTCACAGGTGTCCTCAGTGTCCAAGCATGAAGTAATTAAATGAATAATCCCATTCCACGATCAATCAGCCAGGGGCTAGCTAGCCTATAGGCGTGCAGGGGGAAAAGGGTTGCGAGACGGGAAGTGTTGCAGGTGTTATTTAAGAGTCAAATGTGCGATAATCCAAAGCAGAGCGAACTTACATAAACAATCAACTAGAAAATTGGTCAGTTTAGATGGGCTCGATTTTTGCTTTTGCTTTCGCCCGATTGTTCAGAATTGTTGCAGTATTTTTGCAAATTGAATCAACGCTAATTGGCTGCTCAGAAATTGTTCTATTTTGCAGTTATTACTAAATCGCAGCTAGCTGGCAGCTGTGGAGGGGGTGGAGTGGGTGGAAGGGGGGGGGGTGGTACAACTGGCTTTGGCACTGGCACTGAAACTATCACCTGACCGCACTGCTTGCAACAACAACAACAGCAACAGCAACAACAACAGCAGCAGCAGCAGCAACAGCAGCAACAACAATAACAACAACACTGTGAACACTTACACGCAATCCAATTAGAACAAATTGAGGCAAGCCGTGGAGTCAATTGAGTACGTCGCATGATGGTGACTGGCATTGTTTCAAGTCTGTAGAGCGGGAGGATTGTCAACTGCTGCTGCTGCTGCTGCTGCTGCTGCTGCTGCAACACACCAACAGCACACCAGCAACACATTAGCAACACACCAGCAGATCACGAGATCAAGCCTTCTTCTTCTTTATGCTTTTCATATATATTTTTATTTGGATTATTTGCGCCCTTGACTGACTCGTCGTCATTATTATTATTATTATTATTGCTGATGGTTAAATTCTGGCTGCGGCATGGGATATGCTTGTGGGGTGCTGTCACCGCTGTACCGCTGCACATGACCATTAGATAAGTTTATTATAGAATAAATACGCGCTGTGCCCACTCATAAAGAAGTTAAGCAATTTCAGCTCTTTAAAGCATAAATGGTTTAATAGAGTTTGACGCGACAATTGGCGGAGGGCTGATATAAAAAAAAAAAAAAAAAAAAAAAAAAAAAGGGCCCCNCAGCAACAGCAGCAACAACAATAACAACAACACTGTGAACACTTACACGCAATCCAATTAGAACAAATTGAGGCAAGCCGTGGAGTCAATTGAGTACGTCGCATGATGGTGACTGGCATTGTTTCAAGTCTGTAGAGCGGGAGGATTGTCAACTGCTGCTGCTGCTGCTGCTGCTGCTGCAACACACCAACAGCACACCAGCAACACATTAGCAACACACCAGCAGATCACGAGATCAAGCCTTCTTCTTCTTTATGCTTTTCATATATATTTTTATTTGGATTATTTGCGCCCTTGACTGACTCGTCGTCATTATTATTATTATTATTATTGCTGATGGTTAAATTCTGGCTGCGGCATGGGATATGCTTGTGGGGTGCTGTCACCGCTGTACCGCTGCACATGACCATTAGATAAGTTTATTATAGAATAAATACGCGCTGTGCCCACTCATAAAGAAGTTAAGCAATTTCAGCTCTTTAAAGCATAAATGGTTTAATAGAGTTTGACGCGACAATTGGCGGAGGGCTGATATAAAAAAAAAAAAAAAAAAAAAAAAAAGTGTCGCCTATTATTTATACCCTGCAATAATCGTAATTGCCAATAAGAGAGTGAAAAGAGCGAGAAAATGAGAGAGAGAGAGAGATCAAGAGAGAGAGAGAGTGATCAAGAGGAATAGGGAAAGAGAGATCACGACACATAGAGAGAGTAAGGAAGGTGAGCGAGAGATACGCAGTGAGATAGAGAAAAAGAGTTAGAAAAGAAAGAAAGAGAAAGAGATATATGATGATGAGAGGATGAGAAAAAAAGAGAGCAAGAGGTAGAGAGAGAAAAGGAGGGAGAGAAAGAGAGAATAGCGAAACAAATAGACATAAAAAAGAGAAATTAAGAAAGAGAGAGACATATTGACAGTGAGAGAGGTAGAGAGCGAGAGCGCGCAAGTGAGAGAAAGAAATAGATATAGACAAATATAAATAGAAATAGAAATAGATCGACATATACAGCTAGATCGAAAGATAGTGAAAGAGAGAAATCTATAATTAGAGTGAGAGAGAGAAATAGAAAGATAGATAAATATATAGATAAAGAGGCAGATAAACAGAAAAAGATAAAGAGATTAAAAGATAGCTAAAGACAGAGAGAATCTCAAGTAGAGAGAGGCGTAGTGAGATGAAAAAAACCTGAAGCGATCAAGAGATAGTTAAAAGAGGCTTCGAGAGATGCAGAGAAAGATAAAGTCTACTGTATATGTCGTCGATCTATATATTAATTTGCGACTCCAACTTTATTCGAATAATATCAAAGTCATGTTTTTTCAGTATATAATTATAATTATGATATTTGCAGATGATTTAATTATGCCAAACGTTTGGCAGAGATCGCTCGATAAGTTGCCCACTCGAACTCAAGTTCTGTTCGGTTCAAGCATATCTCCAAGTCGAATCTTTCCACTAGAACCAGAGCAATTATTTTTAGCTTGCAGTCCTTCAGTACAAATTTCGTTGTAGACATACGACACGAGTGCCTTGATAAGCCCATATAGTACAAGTTCAAAGAATCGATTTTTATGTGCCTGATAGCGAAGGCAAAGTTTCTGCTTGAGTTCGTGTGCCAAAAGACATACGTACATATGTACATATATGTATAATGGTCTAATTTCTGAATGTATGTGTGTGTGTGTGTGTGTGTGTATTAATTGTGGCTGTTATATAATTTAGTGGAAATTACGCACTCACTGATCATTGTCGCGCGCATGCGACTGACTGGCCGCAGCTATAAATTGCCATTTGATGAATAACAATTAAGCAGGCATTAATAATTAGAACACTTCGTTTTTTATTATTTGCGATCTTAATTGCTGTGCGTTTTCAACAACCACAAAAACACACAAAAAAAAAAAAAAAAAGAAGATAGAGAGAAAGAGAGACGAAGCTACAATCGAGAACCGTCGCCATAATCGTATATCATGTATTTGGCACCCATAAAAAAGTACGCACACTGCGGGGCCCAGAGCTCCTCCAATTGCCTCCCCCAATTACTCATACGCCGCGTGGGATCGCGTCTACCTCAGCTGCCTTCACCTACATAAACACATAAATTCGTGAGCGCTGCCACCGTGCTAGAGCTAGTGCTGGAGCTGGTGCTGGTGCGCGACCTTATCAGTCGACCAGCCAGCCAGGCAACTCTTATCTCAGTTGGCCACCAGCCAACCGATCCCGTTATCGGGCACCGTTTTCGTGCAGAAGAACGGCCTGTGCCAAACGATATCGGAGATCAAAGTTTGCGGCCGGGTTTATGGCCCGCAGCCCGCTTACCGCTACCCGCCACCCGCCACCCACCCGCGACCCACAAAGCCGATCGCTCGCTCACACGGCGCTGCTGAGCTGAGAGGCCAAAAAGAATCGCGTCAAACGCATCGTAAAAATTGCCAGACAAAAATGCCGATGGACGCATGCGCGATTCACGTGAACCGCGTTCGCCGTCCGTTCAACGATCAACTGGAACGTGAGACGTTGGGTGTGAAACGAGGAGCGGAAAGTGTGAAACGAGTGGAAGTGTGAGACGGCCGACGGGCCGGGCGTGGCGAGGCGAGGGACGGGCAATGGAGAACGGGGAACAGAGAACGAGGAACGAGCAACGAGGAACGGGAAACGAACAACAACTGGCGGCGGCCAGCAATCGATCAATAGAAATATAATTTGCACTTGTTGTCTCTTGCCATCTGCATATACACTGTAAAAAATAAAAATAACTTTGATATAATTAGCTAGCGCTTGTTACATTAATTATACATATATAAATCAAAATTGATTGATATCCGAATGGCTTCATATGATATGCGA